TGTTCACCCTGTACCCCGTAATTTTCATAATCGTGTACATTTGCTACTGCACCCATCAACTGTCACAATTGGAATAACAAAGGTGCAAAAAGCTACGTATTAAATTCGAATAGAGTTAATAAATAATGGTAGGTACGATATTTAAGTGGACACTTTGGTGGCAGTTTACTATTCAATTACTGTTGTCGCCACGTAAATATTTTGTTGTAAAGCCGCTCAAATAAGGCGATATAAATTCCCTCTACAAGTCCGTTGCACTATCATCAGCCAGGTTTTGCAGCCCGGCCTGATTCATTTACGCAGATTATTATTTCCATAAGTATATGCGTATTCTCACGTTATTCAAAATCTGTATTTTTCAGGGCACAAAACAACGTTCGCTAATTTTGGAAGAAGTATTAAAACAAGATGTGATATGGACGAAAAAATTGGTTACGTTTGTCTTCCAATATATTCCGTTTGTAAAACTACGTCGGTATTGCAAAAGTTTAGAAATCTCATGCAATGGCATCGCTTGGTTGACCAGTTGGTTGGCTTTTATTTGGATTGCGGACAGCAAATCACTCTACCAAATGCAGTTAAATCTACTCTTTGGCCTAATTTTTGATATTATAGTAATTGCCGTGTTGAAAGCTATATTCCGACGTAGGCGACCCTCAGTGTGTTCGGATATGATTACTTTGGGACCTGACAAGTTTAGTTTTCCTTCTGGGCATGCGTCCAGGTCAGCATTCATCCTCATGTTTTTCGTCGTGCTAAATCCTGTCTGGGAAATACTATGGATACCTATTGTTTCGTGGACGTTGAGTGTGTGTTTGTCGAGGGTATTACTCAGCCGTCACTACATATTGGATGTTGTTGGAGGAATGACGGTTGGAGTTGTGGAGGCGCTTTTCATTGGACTTTTATGGATTAGTGAAAATACGGCATCAAATATTATCAACTATGTAACCAACGATTATTTGCCTGCAGACGAGGTTTAATCTCTTTCATTTTGTTAAAATACCCCAGTAATGCATATTTGTTAAAATTTTAAATTTACCAAGAGAATAGTAAAAAGCCAACAAAAATGCATTTTAAAGAAAAAAAATTACCGTGGCTGACTCACTGATGTGTAAACAAAATAAGACACCACATATTTGTGATATGCGCTTACACCTAAGATTTTTTATCACACCTATTAAAAAATACCGATAAGTATGATTGCGTTTTCTTTGTAGGTTTTCCCAGTTCTATTTGCTTTTCTGTATAAAATTTGTAAATTAGATAGTGTGGTAAAAATTTTTACTCTATCGGACCCTTCTTCCCTGCGACAAGTTAAACTACCTTCATAGGTTACGGTAGAAGGAAATAAAATACAATTAAGTTTTTGTTTTAATAACTTATGCTTAACAATACAATTTATTTTTGAAATATTACGAGAGAACAAATACAAAACATCTTCAACATAGAAATATCCACTTTACGATCCGCAAGACATGCAGGCGTCCTTATTTTCGAGGGAACAAACCATATCTGCCATATTCTGGCTTCGATTGGGAGATGCCGCTTCTTCGGTTTGTTTAGCTTTTATTTCCCCATTCGTTTCTTTGCGACTCTTGTCCACAGTAAATTGTATAGCATTTGCAGCAGGTTTGGTACGTAAGTAGTACATTCCTGTTTTTAGACCCGCTTTCCAGCCATAGAAATGTATAGAAGTTAGTTTGCCATAGTTTGGCTCTGCGACATGTATGTTAAACGATTGGCTTTGGTCGATGAATGCTCCCCGATCTGCTGCCATTTTAATTGAAGTTTTAACCGAGATTTCCCATACAGTTTTGTACAGATCGCGAATGTGCTGCGGTATGGATTCTATGCCTTGTATGGAGCCACGGCTAGTAATAATTTTATTTTTCATGTCATCATCCCACAAACCCAACTCAGTGAGATCGCGCAGCAAATGATGATTTACAACTTGAAATTCGCCAGAGAGTACGCGACGTGTGTAGATGTTAGAAGTGTAGGGTTCGAATGACTCATTATTGCCCATGATTTGCGCAGTTGAAGCGGTGGGCATAGGTGCAAGCAGGAGGGAATTCCTAACACCATGCTGTTTAATTTTCTCCTTCAATTCTGTCCAGTTCCAGAGCTCAGTGGGCTTCTTATCCCACATGTCATATTGTAGAATTCCCTTGCTAACTGGACAGCCTTCATAAGTTTCATAGGTACCGTATTTCTCAGCCAATTCACAACTAGCTTCTAATGCACCATAATAAATGGTTTCGAAAACCTGTTGATTTAAAAGGAATGCTTGTTCGCTTTCGTACGGATAGCGCATAAGTATAAGAGCGTCTGCAAAACCTTGTACGCCGATCCCGATTGGACGGTGTCTAAAGTTTGATTTTTTTGCCTCGGGCAATGGGTAGTGATTTATTTCAATGATTTTATTCAAATTTCGTGTCACAGTTTTGGTGACTTCCTTGAGCCGTTGGAAATCGTAAGTTTTTTCAGGTGTGACAAACATGTTCAAAGCGATTGATGCTAAGTTGCATACAGCCACCTCATCAGGTGCAGAATATTCGACAATTTCAGTGCATAGATTGCTGCATTTAATGGTGCCAATATTTTGCTGATTACTTTTTCTATTACAGGCATCCTTGTACAACATATAAGGTGTACCGGTCTCCACCTGGGATTCAATGATGGCGAACCAAAGACTTTGAGCTTTCACCGTCTTATTAGCCCGTCCTTCCTTTTCATACTTTGTATATAATTTTTCGAATTCTTCGCCCCAAACCTCATGTAAGCCAGGACATTTATGTGGACACATCAATGACCACTCTCCGTTAGCTTCCACACGTTCCATGAATAAATCTGGTATCCACAAAGCATAAAATAAATCTCTGGCTCGGTGCTCTTCTTTTCCAGTATTCTTCTTCAAATCCAAAAACTCAAAAATATCTGCATGCCATGGTTCCAAGTAAATGGCAAAGGCGCCAGGCCGCTTGCCACCACCCTGATCGACGTAACGTGCAACGTTATTGAATACCCGCAACATTGGTACCAAACCATTTGAAGTGCCATTTGTGCCCGCGATTGCTGTGCCCTTTGCGCGTATGCAATGGACATTTAGTCCAATGCCACCAGCAGACTTGGAAATTAAAGCACATTGGTGGGCAGATGTAAATATACCATCAATGGAATCACCAGCCATAGTCAATAGGAAACAGGATGACAATTGCGGTTGGCGAGTGGCAGCAGCAAAGAGTGTTGGAGAGGCATGTGTGAAATAGCGTTCCGAAAGCAAGTTATAAGTTTCAATAGCGGCATCAATATCTTCACCATGAATACCAATGGAAACACGCATTAACATGTGCTGCGGACGTTCAACAATTTTGCCATTCAACTTGAGTAAATAGGAACGCTCAAGTGTTTTGAAACCAAAATAATTGTAACCAAAATCACGGTCATATATTATAGCCGAATTTAAGCGGTCTGCATTTTTCTTTACAACATTGTAATGAAAGTCCGATATAATTGGTGTAGGTAGGCCAGTTTCGGCGCTTACATAGTTATACAGATCACTTATAACATCTAATATGAAAATATACAATTGAAAAATATGCAAAAATATACCACTAGCAAGAAAGCAAGTTTTTTTTTAATATCTAAATAATTTTTATAAAAATTCACTTACCAGAAAATACTTTTCTAGTTTCCTTATGCAAATTGGAAATAGCAATGCGTGCGGCCAAAGTTGCGTAGTCGGCATGTTGCGTTGTTAGACTAGCTGCGATTTCGGCTGCCAAGTTATCGAGTTCCTGTGTGGTAACGCCGCAATACAAGCCATTGATGACCTTTAGCGTAATGGCCACCTTTAACCCCAATTAAAATCAACGTTAGTACTTAAAAAAAAAAAAATAATAAGAATTTACCGGATCAACAAAATCCATGTTGAGTCCATAGCAAAGCTTCTGCACACGTGAAGTAATTTTATCAAAATGTATGTCCTCCTTTCGTCCATCTGTAAGGAATAATTTCACAAGTTTTAGAGGTTAATCTCGGTTGACCCAACATATGTATGTTATAGTGGACAAAAACGATTCAACTAGTACTCAATTTTAGTTGTAGTAGAACTCCTTTCTGATAAAGGTTATGATGTACCCGAAATTCCTGGAGTAGGTAAACTTATCTTTAAATCAATGCCTAACTGCAGGTAATTAACATGCCCGCTTCTACGCGTTTCTTGCTAGCAAACGCTTTGTCATTCAAGCGTGCGGCGCAACTTTCTGTCACTTCCTTTGCTATGCAACTTTGAAGCGAATTTCAATTTCACAAGACTTATCAGCAATTAATGGTGTTTATCGCAAACTCCTATTCGAAGACGACATACTTCTGTAAAAAAATAACCCCAAGCTTCCAATGAGCCAAATATAAAGCTTTCTTTACACCAATACGTTTGGTGTCCTTTTAAAGGCTTCTAAAACTGCACAATTGCTGCTTCATATTCAACAATGAGGTATTATTAGCATTTTATAAATATTTTGTACAACTAAATTTACCTCTTTTTATTACATATAGTTTAGGTGACTTCATTTTGCAAAACCTTCAGCAATTAATCTTCCGGCACAAATAGATATCACCAAAATGAGGAAAATTTTCTAGTGGAATGTAGATTAAACGCGCCAAAAAAGACGTTTGAAGTTTACTTATCTTGCGAATTCGGGAAAAAATCGATTGCGAAACAAAACAGGGCGTGGAATAACTGAAAACTGTAATTGTTGAATATTTTTTGACAAGTAAGTTATAAGTAAATGAACGTTTAAATTTAAGCCTTTAAATTATGTATTTAATAATCATATACCCATGAAAATATATAATTTTCTCACGAAAACGCGTCCTTTTCTACTACAGGGTGCAGTCAGAAGTCACTGTAGAAAAAATAAATTAGCAACAGGGTGTTTGTGGATCCCAGATGCGCAACAGTTGAAGTTGGGCTCCCTGCAATGGCAGGGTTCTTGCGGAATTATCCCTGGCACATGGCAATACTGTACATGATTGGTGTTGTTCGTTGCCTTGTAATCATGGTGATTGATTCGGTCTGCCTCAAATACGCGAAAAACTATAGTTTCTGTTGACGATGTAGAAAAATCGTTGTAATCTATCGGTTGAGAAAAGTTTTTTACCTACCAAAACGTTGAAATAAAGGGAATATATACCCGTTAAGTATCTATTTAGTGTTAGTAAGAAGTGATAAGGACGATAAGAAGTGCTGCTGCTGCAACGCGCGGAGTTGTTAAATGTTGGCAACATCGTTTGATATGATGCAGATGCGTAAGCGCTCTCAACAAAACAAAAAAGCGGATATTCGATCAACTCGTTCAATAAACACAAAACAAGAGCATATACCAGTTGTATTATTTTATATATGCAGAGATAGATAGATTGTTGGACTGAATGTGAATGTGTGATAATTACATATTTGTGTACACGTTTAGATTTTATCACGATTTTTCTGTGTTGGTGTTTGCATGCATTGCGTTGAGTTATTTTCGTGTAACGGAAACTCTGGATTTTCTTGTGTGTGAGAGAAATGTCTCAAAATGTCTTGTTCTGGCTGAACGTACAATAGTTGTATAGCCAAAGCGCCTTCATATTATTAGATTTTATTGTGAATCTGTTCGGATGTGTTAAAAAAGGCGTTCTTTTTTTAATCTTATTAATTAATTTATAACTTTGTATATTGTTTTAAGATTGTGAAGTGCTTAAATTGTGTGAAAATAATTTCCCATAATCCAATAACTATGTGTAATGTACCACCTAAGTTCTATCAAGTTTGTCGTTTATGCCTTACTTTGGTCAAAGAGCATGACGTTGAGGTGCTGCAAATATTTAATTCATCATCAGCAACAGCTACAACTACGACGGCAGTGCCTTTTGGCAATGATATTCAAACAAAAGAAGCCCCTGCAAATGCAAATATCCTCGGCCAACAGTTTCACCATCACCATCACCACCATCATATTCATCCTCAACAATTTGGGAGGCCACAGAGCAGTTGTAGTACAAAAAATGATTGTGGCTCTGATAACCAATCTCAATCGCCTGTACCAGTTTTCAAGAGTGAGGAAGAGATATCAGATAATAATCTAAGTACACTCGTGCCGATTGTGCCTTCTTCCATTGTTGCAACTGATACTTCTACATATGGAATCAGTCAATTGATGTCCAAATCATTGAAAAATAACGAAGCGGGGGACTTTTCAACGTCTAATACACAAATACATGCAGAAAACGCCACACATGTGAAACACAAGATTACATTATCCAATGATAACGAAGAAGGCAAAAGCAATGATGGCATGTCTCTGGGAGAGGAGGTGTTCAAGAAGGAAAACCATGATGATTCATCACCACATATTACCATTCAAATACTCAGCTGTCTCTCTATAAAGGTACGTAATAAGTAAGAGATCCGATTACGACACCACTGACAATAATTAAACAAACAGGGTTGCCGGCTTATTTATATTTGCACAACTGGTAAACCTGTGTATTTGCACGTTTTTCCAACAAATTTAATTCTAATATAAAAAATTATATTTGTATAACCAGCATGTGAAATGAAAAAAATGCGTTGAGTGAAAATTTCATTTGGATGATAACATTTCGTGCAGCTCTAGTGTGTGCTTGCATATGTGTGCTTTCGAAAGGAGTTATCATATCGGCATCTGATGAAATTATCAAGTGATATCAGTACAGTACTGCACGTGCAGTGAATCTCCTTTTGTTGGTAAATAACGCTGTGTGTTATCGTTGTTGTGCAAGTATCGATAACAAGTCTGCAGAGATTGCCCCCACTAGAGTTGCCAAGTGTCAAAGTGGTGGCCATATTTAGTAGGATTTGATAATGAGATTTAACCGTGATAAATATGTTCATACATTCATTCATATATACCTATTAAATGCAAACAAAATATAATTGAAGCTTTAAAAATAATAGTTGCTAATGTAAAACAATTAATTTATTTTTTCTAGATTTCACGAAATGATGGCTTGCCAGCCATTGTATGCCGCAACTGCAGAGCTCAATTGAATGCATTTTGGAACTTTCGATTGATGGCTCAAAAGGCAGATTTTACGTTAAAGGAGTTAACGAAATTTTCTAAACAGGTGAGTCATAGCAAAAATGATATAGGATTGATTGTAGAATAAATTCCAATATAAAGAAGTTATGATATGTTCACCGTTGATGATCTGAATCTAAAAGTAAACGCAAATACCCTAATAACCCTGAAATGTAGGTGTTAGCTTCGTTTGCTTGCTCTCCTTCACCTAGCTGCCGCAAATAAAATACGGAGCCGTTAAAGTTCGCAATGTTTAAGACAATTGGCGAACTGATTTTAAAATATGTTGCACCATTTAGGTAACTGGGAACTGAAAGGTTGCAGTGAAAGAAATTACAGTTCTGCGTAAATAATGCACCACGGACAAAAAAGGGATGTTTTCTGATGTCGTCTGCTCACCTCCCACATAGTGAAGATTTTATGCTCCCTGCAAGGGTACGTCAATTTCTGTTCAATAGTCAATGGCTGCTTGGCTGGTGAGGTAAGCAGTATTGGATCCTAGAGGCGTCAGAAGGCAACTCTATGAAATGACAATATATTCACACCTCCATTGCACAACCACTTATCCCGACGTTGTCAGACAGGCTATAACAACATTCAACGAGAGACAACCACATTCCAGAGGCATCCACCTCTTATCTTGCCTCCTTAAACTCAATCAGCTACCACTCTTCGCTCCTTTGTTTTTGTTTAAAAAAAAGAAAATACCGAAACAACCCTTGGCCAGATATAAATCTGGGTTACATAGACCCGACCATGTCGAAACAGCACGATTCCAAGGTTATTTGAGCTTAACTACGATTGCTAGCCTAGCCGATTTAGGCAACAAGCTGAGGTCGTTCCTGCAATTCTAAATATGGCATTTTTAAATGTTAGACAATAATATTTCTATCAGATTAAAAACATAAATTCCACTTTTGACTGGACAAGACAATGAAATAACAACCGCGGTTTCGAAATACTTCTATACGATCCCCAACTGGTACATCAATTTACTGATGTAGCGTAACTGTAATAAGTCGTTTGTGCACTAAACGTTATTTCAGAGTCTGTTGTTGTTGTTGTTGTAGCGGCTACAACAACCCCGCCCAGATCGGTTGGTATCTCAGTCGTTGTCGTCAAGTTCCACTAACGGCAACCCTAGGAAGCGTGCAGCTTCTGTGGGATCTGTCCACAGGGACAGGGCCGTTAGGGTTGTCGGGTTTTCCGGGCATGCGAAGAGATGGTTCGAGTCATGTGGGGTCTCTCCGCATGCCGGACATTCGTTCGGCACATCCTCATTCAGCCTACTCAAGTAGGAGTTTAACCTGCTGCAGTAGCCGGAGCGAAGTTGAGTCTCTACTAGTCTGGTTTAGACAGAGTGCATACAACCTAAGTTCCCTTTCCCGCATTGTCGTAGAGGTTAAGAAGCACCTGTTTATTACATTCGTTTGCGTCGCACTAATTATCTTGAATGAATACCTTATTAAGTTTCTATGGAATGAATGCAAACCATGGTCATAAAGAGTCCTTTATTCCAGGTCTAGTAGTTTATTCTAAAATGTTAAATATTTCAAAATCCAGAGAAGCAAAACATAATCCCTCTTGCATTTCTTCCTTCACAGAATTCTATGGGAAGTGATACCCATTTCACAAGCATTTCAAGATCACCACCATGCGGAAAGTCTTCTTCGGAGAGAATGGCAGCCAAGGCTTTAACAGAATTAAGTAAATCATCAAAAAGTTATTTTGGTGGATATAAACCAATAAATCCTACTGCCGAAAATTATGCTGAAGCTTGTACATTTATACCAGCTACCGTAGCCGTCGCTAAATCGCTTCAAAAGCCGAATATAAACGAAAATGATGACATTTACAATACAGCGTCCTGTTCTTCGAAAACTCCGCCCATAATGAAGAAATTAAGTGCGCTATCACCACCACTAGCGCCACCTGCACCGCCTCCGCCTCAGCCGCGTTCAGGCGAACTTAATAATTCTCTAACTGCGCCTGTAGTAACAGCCAAAGCAACAGCAACAACACCTACGACAGTAATTACAACAACGGAAGAAATGTTGGGAAATCAAACGGCCGCAGCGTATTATTCCAATGATAACCCCTTAAAATATGATGGTGTCATTTCGCCGAATACAATTGCAAATAATTTGATAAATATGAAGAACGAGAATTTACCGAATATTGAGAAAATTAGAAATTTGCAACAAAAACTCGAAACGGCTGCTGTGCTTATGGATATTAGTAAAAAAGTGATCATATCACCACCATGCTCGAATCGCCAGTCTCCAAATCTACCTTCAATGCAAACAACAGATGAAAGTATTAAAAATTCTGTGATAAAAACTGAACGTCCATCAAATGAAAAGACAACAACAGTAGTAACATCAACAGTTACAACAACACTACAAGATGGAAAGGAAATAGACTTATCAATTAAAAAGCCGAAACTTGAATTCTCAAACACTCAACAAACAGCAACAAACGTATCTCAATTACTTCATTACACTCGTCCTACAATACTCGAATTGCAACAACAGCATCAACACCACCAACAACCACAACAAACACATACCCAACCTGTAAATTTAGATTTAGAAAATGCAAGTATTATTAAAGGAGGAATTGAAAATACAAGTATACCTTGTAGTAGTACTCAATTACCAATACCAAATAGAAAGGAAACACCAGCAGCCACAGCAGCTGTAGGCGCAGTAGCTTACACAGACTCCGATGAGAGTTCCGATTCGAATCGTTTAGAAATGGATATGAGTTCAATGCTAAATGAACGCAAATCGCCGGACAGTATAACATCAGAAGAGCAAGTAACGGATATTGCGACCACACAATTGTGGCAGGCGCTTGCCAGATCGGCTGGTAAGTACTAAGAGAAATTATTATTTTATTTCTAAATTTTTGTTGTTACTAACACACCGCCACCATTACAGCAAATAACGAAAATAATCAGCTACTCCGGCATATGATACATCAATCGCTAGTATTCCCTGCGCCGCCAACTGCAATATCAGCTGAGAATGTACCTGAGCAACCGATGGCATTACTGAAGGTAGGTGACCCGCCTTTTTTTAATTTTTTTTTTAAGTAATAGTTTCTTTTCTTTTAGAATGATAACCTAAATAAATTGTGCCGAAGAAAACAAACATGTCCGACGAAAAATGATGCAATCGAACAACTGCCCAATGTGTTGGCTGTTAATGCTCAAAATCTCGAGATTAATGCCGGTACACATAATCATGTTGCTGTTGCGGCCGCAGCTGCAGCGGCAGCTGCATCAATGCAAGAGAAAAAGGTAATATTTTGGTGATAGTGTGGTAAAGTTTTTTAAAATAATAACAAATTAAATGTATTCTCTAGAACAACAAGAATGCTGGCGCTGGCACTGCTGGCATAATAAATAATCCAAAAGATATGTCTTGCTCCAATTGTGGTACACTTACTACGACTATTTGGAGACGTAGTATTCGTGGTGAAATGGTATGCAATGCTTGTGGTTTATACTTTAAATTGCATGGCGTTAATCGGCCGCATTCGATGAGACGCGATACGATACACACACGTCGAAGACGTCCGAAGGAATGTGAAAAATCGAAGAAAAGTAAGATGGATATTTATTTAAATATATAATTTATTATATATATTTATTATATATATAAATTTTGGCATACCATTACTTAAAAAATAATGTTTAAAAAATATCGCAGTTAATTTTGCATTAACTTTTATCAAAAATACAAAAATATTGAACACCGCATATAACAGAGAATTTGGAGAGCGTTAGAATTCTATATCAAAAAAAGAAAAGTAAAATTAAAATGCAAACTAACAAACGTCAGAAATGTGACTGAAAATTTTGTAATAGGAAGAGTTTATTAATATACAAAATTGCCCATCAATAAATATAATCCCTGTTTCTAATGAAAGATTTCTATTTACATAAAAATAATAATTGTACTATAAATACTAACGGTGGCTTTTATCTCCAACTTAGAAAACAAACGCTCAAGCTCGCCTTCCGAAGTATTATGTAAAATGCCCGTCTGTGGTACGAGTGGCTCAGGAGTTGAGCTCAAGCAGAATGTGTTTTTAACTGTTGAAAATCCAGAGACATCTGTTTTAGCTTTTGCGGTAAGTGATTTCTTATCATTTTCACTAATAATAGTTTGCCATTTGTTCTTATTTCTTTTCCTTTTATTAACAACAAATGTAATTTATACTCATGTGTATTTGTTTAGTTTTATTTGAAAAGTAATTCCGTAATATATACTAACACGATTGCTAATAGCTTATTTATGTTGGTATCTTTATTTGCACTTGTTTCGTATGCTAACACTCATACGTACAGACTAGGGATGTTAATTTTTCAGCTTTTTCCGATCCCGGGATTTTCGGGATTGCCTTATCATGATCGCTGGACTCAGATATTCATTACTTTTCAACAACTTAAATCGAAAAAATTGCTTCTATATTGTTTGAGAAGCTCTCCAACCATAAAATCAATAATAAATAAATGGGTTCGAAACCTACTTTTTTTATTTAAAGAGGCGTTCTTTTGTTTTCTCTCTGACGTCAGGATTTATTTTAAAGTGCTTTGTAATTTCAAAGATATGATTAATTGCAAAAATTATTGAAAAAACTCAATTCAATTTAGAGTAAAAATATGGGTACCAAATGCAAGGAGAAATTTCTTTAGAATTGAAAAAAACTAAAATTTTTTGGATTGACAAGAACGAATATGTAATTTTTTAAGCTGATAAAGTTAGAAGGACGAAAACCGAGGATGTTTTCGAGTTTATTTAAGTCTTTAACATATAATTTTTTCAAAAACAAATATTGCCAAATTTCAAGGATAACATTTTTAAAATACATTTTCAATACTTACCAGTCCTTCTGCACAAAAAACTTGAATCTGTTTAAATTCTACAGGATTTCCTCATTAGTTTGATACCCATACTTCTTCTCTAAGCACATTTCTCTGAATTTTTTAAATTATTTTTGAATTACTGACGTCAGAGTGAAAAACTAAAAACGCAGTTTTACCATATTTGTGTTTAGAATTTACTATAATGAGCTAGACATTTATAAAAAAAAAAAATTAATTATTAAATAAAAAAAGAAATATAGCTAATACTGGTCAAGAAAAGGAGTTTCTATTATTGCCATCAGTGGAAATTACAGATCCCGAAAATCCCGGGATTATTTATCAAGAATCCCGGCATTTTTGGGACCTTAAACAGGCCGGGATTAACATTCTTACTACATACATATATTTTGTATATACCCTAAACATTTCATGCGCAACTAATGGCATACCCTCATACTTATGCGCCCACGTGTGTTTGTACATATGTAGTATGTACATTTAATTTAATTAATTCATATTCAATATTTTTTTCTATAAAATTTCTTAAACTAGAGGCTCTCAGGAAAAAAAATGTTCGTTTATTTATTTCTTCAAGAAAATTTTCAGCAAAAGCAAAGAACTTTTTCAAGCAACAGCTGTAATGAAAAATATTTCTTGTGATTTTTCTTGAGAACTGAATACAGCCCTTTAATTTTTAAATACTATCTAACGTTTTTTTTTAGAATTTTCTTTCGTTTTCCATCTTCTTTTTTGGTCATGACCCAGTATTAACCCACTGCTGATATCTATTTAATCCTAAACTAACCTCATTATGCCATTCCATACATCATTTCCTCCAATTTAAGCAATAAAACTTATATTTTCTATAAATTGTATATAAATTTTTCAGAAATTCAAGCGACACATGGACGAGGAACAAGCGAATATGATAAAAGAGGGATTGTTAAAGAAAAAGAAACTACAACAAGGTTCGATTGAAGTAAAATTCAATCAAATGGACGATTTTTTAGTACCTCTCAATCTTGTCTCCAGTGAAAATAATACTAAGTTAACATAAAACGCCAAATCAAAATAACAAGAAAGCAGAAATTACAAAGAAAAAAATAAGTTACAAAACACAAAACAAAAAAAAGGAGAACGTGAAAATTTAGCAAGTAGAAGACTATGAGTGCCGCGCAAGCAAGAAAGGTAGCAAACGCAAAACGCAAATTACAAAAAAAAAACGAACATAAAATTAAAAAAAAGAAAATCTGAAATTGTAGAAATCAAAGAAAACGGGGAAAAAATTACACACAGAGCAGAAACAGTAAGAAAAGTAACCAATACCAAAACAGAAATGAAATAATGTTTATATAGAGTGGAAGGTAAAGCGATGTTTTAACATTAATTAATTCATTAATTAATTTAACCAAGGGCATATATACTTAAATACAATTTTATAAGTTAATAATTTATTGTAATTAAAAGTAAAAAAAAAAATCAAAAAAAAAAGAAAAAAATCAAAGCTTCAGTATTTTTTGAACCACAATGACAATGTTTAATACTACCCCTTAATTAAATAATAGGATCGCTTGTTTTAGTACATACATACATATTAATTGCACATGCTTATGTATGTATGGAAATAAGAGTTGTACATATTTAAAAGCAAACAACAACAAAAAGAGCAGTTTTGAATCTTAACGAGAAAGAAAATAAAACAAAAACGATTGAAAAATCACTCAAAAAATAGATAATACACTCACTCACTTTAAAATCTCTTGCCTATATGCGAATCATGTGATAATTACTTACATTTAATCTAATAATATCGAACTTATTAATCTTATTAAAAAAAAAAAAGAAAGCAATACAAATTTCACATAAGTACAGGGTGTTTTAATTCGCATATATTAATGGACAATCACAGAAAGGTCTTATTACTCAAAGTTCAAACCTTGTTTTTCTCAAAAGAAATAAAGCATATGCGTGCGCACGTACAAACAAACTCAAGGTGCATGTGCATATACATATGTATGTACATACCTCTGCATTGTTGTAGTATGCATGCATGTGCTTACGAGCATGCAAAAATTAATATTATGAGAGTAATGTCTAACATTAGCATCAACAACAACAACAACAACAACAGCATATTAAATATGTATATTATGTACATACTCAAGTACATTTAATAAATTTGTAATTAAGCTTGTAATCGTCCCTATTTATTACATATACTTAACTTACTGTTCACGGTAGTGCACCAAAAACAAACAAAAAATATATATAATGATAATTAAAAAAAAAAAAAACAAATAACAAAAGTAAGTTTTAAGAAATACTAAAAAATATTAACGAATAATTAAAATATTTATTTAATATCTGCACCACTTAAAACGTTTATCGTTAATTTATGTTTGCGCTGTTTTATCAGTATTAGAAGCAGATACACGAGTATTTAAAAACAAAACAAAAAACAATTGCTTTACGGGGAAACTTAAGCAACGCTTTCAATATACATACATACACATGCATAGGTATGTAAATACTTATGTGGTATATAATACTTAATAAAGTGTAAAAAACACATGGCATCCCCTTCGCACTTTTCTGCGAACTCCCCTATCCTTTCTTTGAATTTTTTTTGCGCTCATTTACTTATATAATTCTCTTGCGAAAAAAACGCGAGAAACGCTCAAAAATAGCGAATTTATTGTGAACATTTTGTAACTTAAATGTCGTTGAACGATACATATTATATACTACATACTATATGTAATTATGTAATTTTTTTTGTTTCTGCCCTTTTTTCTTTTGGGAGAAAAGCAGAGAATCAATCATACATCAGCTTAGAGGGTTTTTTGTTTAATTTGTTTCTGTTGTTGTATAGGGTTAAACGCAGGTCAAAGTTTGCATGTGAAATCGAAATCTAAATCCGAGCCGTACTGAGTGGGTGCAGATTTTTTATTGTACTTTTTGAGCTAATATAACAAGCACGCGGTATATTTATAGACATAGAGCACGTATACAATTGAGTTCAGAAATTTTTGCTTTGCAACTCAGTGGATTTTGTGTGATTTTTAACGAAGGACTTCTTTTTATGTACATAAAAAAACACATGCTGTACTAGGGTGGTCCTTAAAAATATAAACATCTAAATTTTGTATGGGGCAACCCTTTATTTTGTTCTACGTAAAAAATAAAGACATGCACGAAAATTTGCAAATTTTAAAATAATTTCAAGAAATCTCTAGCAGGGTTTGAAAAAATTAAAACTTTTATAAATCGCAAAAATTCTAAAAATTTTTTACTTGAAATCTGATAAGTTTCACATAGTATTGAAACTTATTCCTATAAATTCATAAATTCTCAGAGTTATAGCTGGTTAGAGTCGAAAGTTTGTAAAATTTTTGCGACTTTAAAATATTAAATATTTTCAAACCCTGGTAGCGACCTCAAATTGTTTTTTTATTTTAAAATTTTCCTGGGGTGCTCCATGTTGTTTATTTTCTAAGGAACAACCTAATACAATCGTTGCTTTGCTATAAAGTAGTAGCATAGAGGAAAAAGTAGAAAATAATTCAATTTGGTAAAAAAATTAAATATTTTTATACATTCAACTCGAATTTTTCAAATTAAATTTACCGCTTGTACATCCCTATTCCAACGGAGTTGCTAAACTCTGCGCATCACTGGCGCTAGCTACTGTGCCCAGAAATGTGCTACAAAAATTAGTTTTTAAAAAATATGTATTTTTAAATACATATTTAAAGTTATTGCGGCATATTTTGCGGCGCAGTCAGTAGGTAGCACAACAATGATGCGCTTCGAGTTTTGAGCTTTGATAGGAAAAGTGTTATTAGTTTAGATGGCACGCCGCATCTAATGTTGGGCTAATAAAAAAATAAAAAGAAAATTCACTTTGGAATTTTAAAGTTTGCAATGAAAAACTCCAATTTTGGCGATGAAAAAGAATTTATAGAACATAGTTGTAGTGCATTTCGAATTGTATTCTAAAAAAAAAAGAAGCAAAATACTATATAAATACATATACTTAAAAACTCGTATAACTTTTTTTAAATAAGGCGTGATCTACTTTTATATTCGAATACATTAAAGCTGAATTTATCTAAATTAAAAAAAAAAAATATTAATACAGCACATCGCAGTATGCATTTCTGCATAAAAACACAACAAGTACTAGTGTAAGCAGGACTTCACCTTAGGCATATGAAGTCTTTAAAAAATTGATATTTGATAATCAAAAGAAACAAAAAAAAAAATTAAGTATTCGCTATTGCAAGAACAATTTAGGTAGTTTTTTTAATACTTTCACTCCTCACTCTTTAAGTATGTATAGCATTAAAAATATTGAAACGAAAAATTCTAAAATGCAAAAAAAAAATTATAAAAGAAAAATTTTTGTAAAAAATTTGCAGCCCATGCGAGGCCGAGTGACAAATTATGCGCACTTACAAATTGAGATTAATTTATTTTTTTAAAAACAACGCAAATAATATACTTATGTACATACATACAAATATAAATAGATACTAAATACACAAGCAAGTAGCGTGTATGTTTTGGTGGTACTGCTCTCTCTCAAATTCTCACTTTTCGAAGCTTCAAAGCAGCAAAAGCTTTAGGCCTTTCTGAGTTGTACCATATAATGTATATATCACAGCATCCTGCTTGAGTAATTATTTTATATACATCAAAACAAAAATTTAAATTTAAAATAAAAAAAGATAATAAATTTAATGACTAAAAATCATAAGCGTTGAAAACAGTAACATGTAAATTATACTATAAGTGTGTACATCGATTTTTTACACTTATGTATACATGCATACATAAATATATATATATATATATATATATTATTACAGATTCGAGCAACTAAGTAGATTTTGTTTTAATTTTTATTACCTAAAAAGATATATATATATATAATTACGTCGTAAAAATTGATCTGGAAAAAGCATTATTCAAGCGAGTTTTTTTACTAATATAATAATAGTAATTAATATTAATAATAATTCACAAACAAAAAATTTATGCCGCAAAGCAAACAAAAATTATGTTATATGACACACAAAACACAGGAAAAAAATAAATATTTTAAAACTAAAAAAAAAAACACATAAACTTAAAAAAATTATTGTCCATTGTAATTTAACGCTAAAATTCAGATGGAATAGTGGGTGTGCTCTGGAACCTTACAAGGAAACAAAAAGAGTTCGCCGTACACCACTAATGGCGTTTTGCTTCCTACTTAAAAATGTTGCCTTGTTATTGCTCGCTTCGCGCACAAACAGTAAGAAACTAACAAAAAAAAAAGACATCGATATATCATACTTTATGATCCGACTGCGAATGGCGAAGATATTACGAAAAATCGAAAAGGGCGATCCCTATTTTTTTCGTTAATTAATTTCTCAGAAACTATCAGGCCTATCGAAAAATGATGTATGTATGGTTTATGGACGATTTCATTGGCTTTCATTTGCAGTGTTTCGTATTACGATTGTTCAATTCGTTCGTACGATATACGTGATTAAGTGGATGCACCCTTTTTTTAAGCTGAGTAACGGTAAATTGTCGGCCGCTGTGGTGTAGTGGTAAGCAGTGCGCGCTTTCACTCATCAGCACCTGGGTTCCAGCCCTGGTCAAGTAACATCGCAAAAAATATAGAAAAAGGTTTTTTCTTAACAGCGGTCGTCCCTTGGCAGGCAATGGCAAACCTCCGAGTGTATTTCTGCCATGAAAAACAGCTTCTCATAAAAATACAACCGCCGTTCGGAGTCGGCGTAAAACTGTAGGTCCCTCCGCTTTGTGTGACAACATCAAGGCGCACGCCACAACTCGGAGGAGAAGCTCGGCCAAACACTAACATATGTGTAAGCGCCATTCTATTATTACCTCTGATCCCGTACTCCATGAACTACACGAACTTGCAGGAAGTTGCAGGAAAAATGTTCCCGTACTCCAAAATTCTCCAAAATCCTGTAAATGAGAGCGACTTTTGGAGAGTTGTGTACAGAATGAAGTTGCAAGATTTTACCCGAACTTTTTTTTTCTGGTAAAATCATGAAAAGTGTCAAGCAATCACTGGTTGACGTTTTTACAGGAGAAAGGGCTCTTTTGTTCCCGTACTTTTTGTTGTTACTCACTTTTTACTCTCACTTCAGAGAGTAATTTTACTGTTTGACAGTTTTACAGGATTTTTCACGAAAAGTATTGGATCAGAGCTAGTATTTAAAATTAAAACCGTTCGCTCAATTCGTCGGCTATCATTTATTTTTTGTCTATTATTTGTCTACTTTGTCAGCCCAATTCTGAATACTCCCGGGGAGTTTGTTCTCCGGGAATTTGTATCTCCCTCCAATAATTAACTCCCAGGGAGTAGCATTTTCCCAAAAAATTTGGGAGGAGGAAATTCGAACTTCGATAAAGCTGTTTGATACTTTGACTGCTCAACTCCGTTATTTAATAAAAAAAATCCTGAGGGATTTTTATTCATGATAAGGGGATAGGGGAAAAAAGAAAAAACTCCCAGGAAGTTTCTGTTCAGAAGCGGCCTGTATACAATTAAAATTTTGAGAGCAACTCAAATGCCAAATAAAAGTAAAACAAAAAATTAATAGATTAAAGTAAGGTGCATCTATACAAGGTGGTGTTACTAGAACAGCTGATTTGATATTTTTGTCTCTACAGCAGAATAGGTTCTTTCCCGTACGCCACGCGGAATCCCGCGGGTGCCCAAAACAGCCCAGATATTATTCCCGTCTTCTTCTTCCTGTGCGAAACAGCTCGGACTTTTCTGGGTAAAAATGGATAAAATGTCAATGTGCATATCAGCTGTTTTGTGTTTACATATATTTTCAATCTTTATATCGAGGGCTTATATTCAATATCCTCTATCTGTTATTTTCACAAAAACTTAGCTATTTCTCAAGTTCTGGGCACGAAATGTAGTTTTTTGCATTTCCGCAAATTTTTCGCTTATTCTCTAATTATCGGATCCGGTCCGCGTTATACGGGAAAAAACCTAATGTCATCCAAGACGAAATGGCGTAACTTTAGTATGTCAACAAAACGAAATGCCGAAAATTATCTCCCATTTTCTTTCGTTTTGACATCCTGATGTACATACCAAAAAGCGATAACAAAATACAAGGGATTTTATTTACATATGTATGTGCGTCTAATATGGATGCGCCTTGGATGAAAATATTCCCACCAAACAATTTTTGTTGCCGGCAATAAAAAAACCGTGTCGCCCTCGGGAACAAATTTATCGCCAATAATA